GTCCTTCTCTCTTCAGCACTGGACTTTTTTTTTTTTTTTTTCCTGTAATATGCACTAACAAAGCCATAGTAAGGAGAATAAAATAGGGATTTTAACGCAATAAAACGAAACTTCAGGCTTGAAATAAAAAGCAAATATTAGTAATCTGTTAAAATTACTTATAAAAATATTGTCCTAGTACAAACTCATCTTTAATGTATTTGGAGAAGAAGCAAGGCCAAAGGCCACCAGCTTGTAAAATGTTAGTAACAAACAGCTGAAGTGCTATTGGGTGAGTGGTGAGCTTTTTAAAATATCTACAGGGCTCGGATGATTTAAGAATGGACCAGATGCAGATCTAATACTGGAGACCTCTTATTGCAGGTCCAACTGCTTATATTTATTACTGTTATTGTTAGCTGCCAGTGAGTTGGTCCCTGATTCCTGGCGACCCCATGGCCAATAGACTATCATGATCTGGGTGTTATTCAATGGCTGCTTTTTGGAAGTGGATCCTCAGGCCTTTCTTCCTCATCTGTCTTACTCAGAAGCTCTGCTGAAACCTGTCCTGACAGACAGGTGGTGGCTACACATGAAGTACACTGACCGGGATCCAACCTGGGTCTCTGGCATGGATAACAAGAATTTTGCCACTGATCTATAATTGCCTCATATTTACTAATGACTTGGAATGATACAAGGAGCTCTGGTGGTATAGTGGGTAAAGCATTTGGCTGCAAATCCAAAGGCCAGGGGTTCAAACCCACTGGGTACTCCACAGGAGTAAGATGAGGCAATCTACACCCATACAGATTTATAGCTTTGGAAACCCGATGGAGGTCGCTTAAGTTGGAATTGACCCAAAGGCAGTGGGTTTTTTTTTTTTTTTTTTGTAATAATACATCTACATGTGGCCAGCTATATAGTCTATGAATACAATGAGTCAAAAGAGTTTGACTTACAGAACTGTGAAATCTTCCAGTTTGGAAGAATTTTAGCAATAATTTCTAGTTCATTTTTCATAACTTAGTCAGTACCATTTTACCTTTAAAATGTTGGTCACATTAATTTTAGTATTATTTAATTCTGCCCCCCCTCCAATTTTATTTTAAAAAGAAACTATGTTATTACCAGAAGTGAAAAACCTTGACATGGAGAAGAATACTAAAAAAACAAAAACAAAACATAATTATCAAATTAAGAAGTTTGTCCACTTACAGGTTAGATATATCCCCCCATAACAACACTGTGAAGTAGGTACTATCATGCTTGTTTCACAGATGAGGAAACTAAGGCCCAGAAGTTAAGCAGTGTCCCAAGGTCAACTTGTAAGTGAAAGAAGTATGCTTCAAACCAAAATCTGCCTGGCCATAAAACAAACTGTTTTTAATGATGTCCTGAAATTGCTTCCCAGCCTTGCAAGGTTTTCTTTCTCCATTTAACTTCAACATGAACTCCCTGGCACACAAAATGACATTTTTGGAGGCACTGAAAATTAGGAAAGAATGACTGAGAATGTGTTCTGCTAAATACCACAGCAATTAGAAAACTAGGGTGAAAGTCTTACATGAGGGATTGAAAACAAGCAAGGTAAGGATTCTTACCCTGATTTTCCTCTAATAACTTACTACTAACTCTTTCCATTTTTGAACCTTCATTAAGCAAACTGCGGGAATACCCTAATTTATAAAATGGATGATGTAGTGGTTAAGGTATTTGGCTGCTAACCTGAAGGTCAGCAGTTCGAACCTACCAGCTGCTCTGTGGAAGAAAGATAAGGCTTTCTGCTTCTATAAAGATTCATATCCTTGGAAATCCAATGGGGGTCACTATACTTTGAAATTGACTTGATGGCAGTGAGTTTGGTTTTGGAGAGTGGTAAAAAGCACTAGCTTGGAGTTCACTCCAGAAATGAGTACACAAATTTTGCCAGAAAGTGAGCTCAAGTCAAAGCCAAGAAGACTCACTTGAAGAGAAGGGTAATCCTCATTTGCTATTTCCTGCTGTAAGCAACTGTTATGGGATATCACTTTAAGATGCTACCAGATGTTCCCTGTTTTGCCTGTAGGTCTTTAGATTACAGTTTTATCTCCAGAACTGCCCTAGTTTTTGTAAGATTCACCCAAAAGTGAGCTCTTGGCTCTGTCAGCCACTCCTGGTGAGGCGAGAAGAGTGCATTGCAATTCCCTAGAGGAGCGACTCAGCTTTCAGAGCAGAGGCCCGGCCTCTGGAGGAGGAAGACATTCATTCTAACCTGTTTACTCAGCATGTATCTTTGTTACCTGACTATTTCTAGGAGTGCAATTAAGGGCTCATGGATGTTAAACTCAACTAAATAACAAATTTGTGGAAGACAGAAACTACATTTTATGTTTTATTGTATTCACCAGAAGGTAGACCAGTGATGAACTAAATCCTGAACTCAGCACCTTCAAACTGGAAATCAGTTTTTACTTTAAAACATATTGATATATGTCCATTCAAACTTCTGAATGAATATGTGCATGCATATATGATCATTTTCTTGTGCCAGCAAACATTCTTCTAGAGTTGGCTTTATCTTATCACTATACGAATGTGACACAATTTCTTTAATCTCCTATTGCTAGAGATTTGGGAATATACAATTTTCTGTATTCTGAAAGGCACTACAGTGATTTTCTTATGTGTTTATTTTTACAAACACGTATTATTTTCTTAAGATACTCCCCCATATGCCCAGAACAAACAAGACACATATAGTGAAAGTTCATGGAATTTTCTGTATTTCTGTTTTAAAGAACCACAGTGCCTCTCTGCTATGCCAAATTTTACCCTAACTAACATGTACTGTATTGGCCTCCCCCCAGCACCAACAAATTATCTAATTTCTTGACAGCAGATATTTCCCTTCCATATTCCAATGAATTCAGATTCCAACAGCAATTGCCAGGTGCTGAGGACACAAATGGTTGAGAAGCAATCCTTGCCAACAATGGCAGGGGAGGCAGACTCACCAACAAGGGATGATACACCACATTCTACATCATAATAGAAAACTAGATGCCTTTAAGTTGACTCTAACTCATGACAAACCCACGTGTGTCAGAGAAGAACTGTGCTGTATAAGGTTTTCAATGGCTGATATTTCAGGTGTACAGCACCAGGCCTGTCTTCTGAGGCTCCTCTGGGAAGACACAAACTTCCAACCTTTCTATTAGCAGCAGAGCACATTAACCATTTGCACTACCCAGGGATTCCCCACTGTAATGGAGGTGCATGAAAACTGGTATGTGAACAAAGATGAAGGAGCAATGAATTCTTCCAGATGCAAAGGGAAATAAGGGGAGAGAAAAATGGTAATAGGAGTCAATGAAGAAAGAGTATTTGCTGAGTTAGGCCTTAAAACATTAATGGAAATTCACCGGGTGAGCAAGCAATGGGCAAGAGATAGATGGGGTAAGATTCCCCAAAGGACATGGAATGAGGGCTATCACTGCCAATGTCAGATGGATCTTGGCTGAAAGCAAAAAATACCAGAAAGACGTTTACCTGTGTTTTATTGACTCTGCAAAGGCATTTGGCTGTGTGGATCATAACAACTTGTGGATAACATTGAAAAGAATGGGCATTCCAGAACATTTAATTATGCTCATAAGGAACCTGTCAGAGACCAAGAGGCTATCTATTGTTCAAACAGAACAAGGGAATACTGCATCGTTTAAAATCAGGAAGGGCATGTGACAGGGTTGTATCCCTTCACCACACTTATTCAATTTGTATGCTAAGAAAATAATCAGAGAAGCTGGACTATGTGAAGAAGAATGCAGCATCAGGATTGGAGGAGGACTTATTAACAACCTGTGATATGCAGATGACACAACCTTGCTTGCTGAAAGTGAAGAGGACTTGAAGCACTTACTGTTGAATATCAAAGACTACAATCTTCAGTATGGATCACGGCTCAACATAAACAAAACAAAAATCCTCACATCTGGACCAATAAGCAACATTACAATAAATGGAGAAAAGACTGAAGTTTTCCAAGATTTCATTTTATTTGGATCCACAATCAATACTCACGGAAGCAGCAGTCAAGAAACCAGATGTCATATTGTACTGGGCAAATCTACTGCAAAAGACCTCTTTAAAGTGTTGAAGAGAAAACGTGTCATTCTGAAGACTCAGATGCTCCTAACCCAAGCCATGGTATTATCAGTCGCCTCCTAAGCACGTGAAAGCTGGACAGTGAATAAGGAGGACTGAAGAAGAGTCGATGTCTTTGAATTGTGGTGCTGGTGAAAAATACTGAAGATGCCACAGGCTGCCAGAATAATGAACAAACCTATCCTGGAAGAAGTGCAGCCAGAATGCTCCTTAGAGGTGAGAATGGCCAGACTTCGTCTCACCTATTTGGTCATGTGGTCAGAAGGGATCAGTCCCTGGAGAAGTATATCATGCTTGGTAAAATAGAGGGTCAGTGAAAAAGGGAAAGGGGAAGACCCTCGACAAGATGGATTGACACAGGGCCTGCAACGATGGGCTCAAACATAGCGAGGACGGTAAGGGTGGTGCAGGACCAGGCAGTGTTTTGTTCTGTAATACACAGGGTTGCTATGAGTCTGAATCAACTCCATGGCAATTAACAACATTATTACCAAAAACGATAAGCACTGTCTAAATTAAGCTAGTTACCTGAATCAGTGAGGCTATTTTATTTTAGGCTTATTAGTTGACTCATAAGTATATTTGCAATTTTCTAGACTTAACTGACTCTACATTCAAGCAAGAGTTGATTCTCCCATACTCGAATTCTACCATGACAAAGGTGATTAGGGAGGGCCCAGGAATTTCTTGGCAGTATAATGTTGTGTCATACTTCTTAAAAAAATTACTTGACTATGAAAAAATAAAGGGCTTAAGATAGGAAATAGACTCTATACTCTCCAATAAACAAACTGGCATTTGAAATATGCAATGGAAAGTTTAAGCAATCCAGCTTCCAGTTTAAATAAGCAAACTGAAAAAATGTGAAGTCTTACTCCATCATGGAAGGTGGAATGGTACAGCAGTCTTGAATTGCAGTTAGGGGAGAGGTCAGGTGAGCTGTATAGGATGCTTCTACAACTTGCTTGTTCCGGTTCACCACATCCAAATAACGGTTGAACTTCTCTCGGATTTTTTTGGCTAGCTGTGGGATGAGAATGAGCAAAGTAAATTGAAAGCCCAAGACAATAACCCAATGCATTTTTTTTCCTAATAAGCTTATTAATTTGTGTCACAAGCTGCATATATTAAACTTCATGTAAAACAAACAACACACGTCCAAGTGTTATTCCACTACTTAGTCTGAGATAAAACTGCAAAATATTCAAAAGTTACAGAAGGATACTTGGACAACAATAAAATAATATCATCTGTCTTATAACACATGCTGAAGCGTTATTAATGTCTCATATGTTCAAATTCTATTAGGATAATAGCTATGCATAAAATGCCTGGCAAAAAAAGAAACCAAAGACCATTGACATTACTACTGTCAGAATGATAGCAGGCATTGGTAGTTAGGGAGCAAAAATGATGATGATGTTGTTGATGTCATGTGCCGTTGAGTCGGACCCAACTCATAGGGACCCCTCCTTTGGTTTCCGAGGCAGTATCACTACAGAAGTAGAGTGCCCCATCTTCCTCCCGGGGAGTGGCTGGTGGGTTTGAACCGCCAGCCTTCTGGTTAGCAGTCAAGTGCCTTAGGTACTACACTACCAGAGCTCCCAAAAATGATGATAGAAAGGATAAAAGAAAAGAGACATTATCTACTGAGGTTCTGGATTTCCACAGAATTTCAGGGGCTTGGAGGAACATGAAGGAATAAAAATGATACTCATTACTTCCTGTTGCACAACTCCAGGGGGCTTCACTCACACTGTTTTCCATGTGAATGGTAATTCCCTGGAGTTTAACAATCAGACATCCATATAAAACAAACTATATTATTAGAAATACATGCTTGTTTGGTCTGTTACACCTTAAGATTGACAAATGTCTTTCTTAACTGCTGTGAACAGAACACTTCATCATGATTTACTTTCATGTGGGAATAACAAAAGCAAATTCATAAGCACACTGCTTTTTCCTGCATTGTTCCCATCAAGTACCACAGCTTAATTACAGATCTCCAAGGAAAACGTTGTTTTTCTTCCCCTTAAACAAAATGTTGCCCAAATTAAACGACTGATAGAATTATAGCTAATTGGTTTTGTAGAGCTATTCATTATCAGCACACTAGAGGAGAACTAATCATCTCCTTTGGGTCATACGTCTCACACAATCCAATAGCTCGCAGGCTGAGAACATGAAGCCAAATCAGAGGATCTTCATTTGTTATTTTCAAGCCAGTTTTAAAATCTGATTTTGTTCCAGTGATATTCTTGAACTTTCAAGAGTCTCAGTTAAATGACTGAGCCTCTCATACTTGCTAAAAGTTGCACAAACTATAAGGAAAATTTCCAGACATATCATAAAGAGTATGTTTAATATGATAATGTGTTATCCACATTTCAGCATTTTTCAAAGGTGGAACTGTTCATCACAAACAGTAACAAGTCCACTTAAAACTCTATTTTCTGATGCACAGTTCTTACTATTAAAAAACTATAGGTTTTCCTCACTGATGTCTTTGCAACAAAATGTAAAGATACAGTTTAAGTTCCCACCTTAACTTACATCAGTGGCGATTTTGCATCCCCCTCCTCCCCAGAGACGTTTTTGGATACCACAACTGAGAGACGAAGGTTACTGTCATGTAGTGGGTGGAGGCCAGAGATGCTGCTGCACATCCGCCCTACAGTGCACGAGACAGCTCCCGGCAACAAGTAACTATCTAGCCCAAAATGTCAATAGTGCACCTGTTGAGAAAAACTGATTAGAGAAAAACCAAAGATAATTATTCCAATCTCTAATTCAGCCAGTAGGTCCCTAACTGTTCTACTTTAAGTTCTTCACTCACTCAAAATGGCACCTTCAAGGGGAAAAATTTCTAACAGATTTCAACATTTTCAAAATTTTATTTTATTTTATTCCTTTACCAATGTAATATGAAAGAAGCATTATATGGACCTAAGTTCCTTAAAATGTAGCCCAAATACAAAACTAGGACTATTCATTCATTATCGGTAGATATGCTGACTTTTTTGAAAAACAGCACTAATACAGCAATCCTCTACCCAAGACTCTTATTTTCGGTGGATAGTTGAGGATGGCAGACAGAGCAACAGGCCTAGCTTTAAAAACCTGCTGTATAGTTAGCTCAAAAGACTAATGGACCACATGAACAACATCCTCCACAATTCTGAGACCAGAAGAACTAGATGGTACCCAGACACCACTGTTGACATTTCCAAAAGGGATCAGAATAGGAGGTACTGGATGAGGTAGAAGAAAAATGTAAAACAAAACTCAAAATCATTTAAAAAAAAAAAAAAAAAGATCAGGCTTACTGGTCTGATAGAGATTGGTGGAATCCCAACATGCTGGCCCTTAGACACCCTTCTAGCCTGGAACTGAAACTGCCCCTGTGGCTCAACTTTCAACCAAACAACAGACAATAAGGTGAACAATAATACTTGGGCAGTACACACTCCCTAGACTAACCAACCATATGAAACAAAGAAAGGCAGCAATTGCTCAGGGATAAAGCTCAGAAGGCAGAAAAGGATAGGAAAGAAAGATGAATGGAAATGGTAAACACAGGGAGAAAGTGGGAAGAGTGCTTTACACTGTAGAGATTGCAATTAATGTGCAAATCAAAAGGTGTATGAATTGTTGAACAGAAAACCAATCTGCTTTGTAAATTTTTGCCCAAATCACAATGAAAAGTTAAAACAAAAAAAGAAAATGCTGACACACTGTGATAAATATAACTAATGTCACCGAAAAATTCGTGTAGAAATTGTCAAATGGGAACCTAACTTGCTATGTAAAGTTTCACTAAAAGCTCAATAAAATATTATTTAAAATAAATAAAAGCCTGATGTGTATTTCCATTTGTTGCTCATTGCTGTCAGTGGGCCCCGACTCATGGCAACTGTTACCTGACCACTGTGATCCATAGGTCTTTCACTGGCTGATTTTCAGGAGATTGCCATACCTTTCTTCCTAGTCTGTGCCCTGCATCTTCCCTCATACACATATTACATTTTAATGCTATGATCTGTTTAGGGTGTGATTACTCAACTAGACTGTGTAGTCTGTAAAGGCAGGTACTACATATCTGGGTTTTTTTTTTTTTAATCCACCACTGTATTTTTAGCACACTTCCTGGCATTGTATTCACATACAAATATTTAATAAATTAATGAGGTTTAAAAAATTCCACCTTGAGAGCCATTAACCTTTGGTCCAAAGATCAATAACCTCTTTGAAAACATGAGATATTTATTTTTAAAATGCTAACAATTTATATTTCTGGAAAGTTCTTAAAAAGATATGTTCTATCTTTTCCCCTTAGGTTCTGATTTCTGATAAAAGAAACATTAATTTTCCACTTAGAAGGATCAATAGTTTATTTCTCGACTGCCTTTGGGAACAAATATTCTGTAATAGGACGAAAGTGAGGTGTGCTTGAAATGACTGGATTTGCCATTATCTTCACAAATTGACTGAGATGAAAATGAAACATATAACCATTTTTCCTATATATAACGTAGGTACATTTACACACAAACAGTGCTCAACTCCATTTGAGAAATATCCAAGGATTTCTTCTACACATTTGAAAAAGCTAAACTTTAAAGACAAAGTTAAATCCAGCTAAAGATTTGTGGAGCAGGGGTAAGGCAAATCTGGTCGCTCTCTGTTCTCATTTAGGCCAGGAGCTAACAATGGTTCTTACTTTTTAATCATTATAGGAAGAGAATACTTTGTGACATGTAATAATTACATGAAATCCAAATTTCGATGCTTATAAATAAAGTTTACTTGGAATGCAGTCATACTCACTTGATTACACATAGTCTATAGCTGCTTTTATGCTGCAATGGCATATTTAAGTAGTCGCAACAGATGCTTTATAGCTACAAACCCTAAAATATTTACTCTCTGGCACTTTATAGCAGTTTGCCAACCCCTGGTCTACAGAGGGAATAAACTTTGCTGTAGATATAAGCTAGGGGCCCTGACATGTCTCAAGACAGAGTGATAATACTAGTGCTGCAGTTTTTTATTAATTTTTGCAATTTCTTAACCCTTCTCCACTGAGAGGTGGTTTCTATGTTCTTCCATATACCTACTGATTGAATCTGGATCAGCTTGTGACAGCTTCTACCAATAGAGTATGCACAAAGTGACACTATGTAGCCTCCAGGGCTATGCTGTAAAAGGCCAGAGGCTTTGCCTCTCTTGGAATGCACATCCTCTCGTTAGTGCCTGGTACCAAGTTGTAAGAAGTCCAACACACATGGAGAGGTAAGTGCTCTGGCTGGAAGCTCCAGCTCAGCCAGTCTTTAAGTCATTGTGGCCCATGCTCCAGATACAAGTCAAGAAGCCTCCAGATGATTCCAGTTTCCAGAGTCTTCCCAGATGCAGCTACAGGTATCATGGAGCAGACAAGCCATCCTTGCTGTGCATGGTCCAAATTCCTGACCCACAGAATCCATAAGATTAAAGAAATAGTTGTTTATGCCACCAAAAGTGGGGTGGTCTGTGAGGTAGCAAAAGATAATTGGGACGCCCAGAATAGACTGTTTCCATCCCAGGATAAGCAATTAAAGCTAAGCTAAACAAAGCTGCTTAAACTCAAGGCACTTGGTCTAAATCATCAAAATTATATCTCACGGATCCTAAACCTATTGCAAAGAGATTTCAGAGTTCTTACAAAAAGTTACAATAGGTAATGTTATTGCCCATGTACTAAGCACAAGGACTCTACAGGATAAGTAGGTATTGTCTTTCTATGACAGAGAGGTGAACTGACTAGCCAAAGCCACCAAGTAAGTGAGAAAGTCCTTCACTTACTCAAATTCACGACTGCCTTTGTGATCAACCAGGTAAATACAGTGCCTTGGACAAACTAAGCCTAAAAGAAGATGTAGTGGTGGCAGAACAGTGGCTTGAAATAATATCATATCAAAAATCACACAGTCTGAGGGATGAAATTTCTGTTAACATAATCAGTCAAAGCACAGAGCAGGCTGT